CCCCCCCCTTTCCTCGTATGCTCCCGTAGAGAGAATTACCAAGCTGACGTCGAGTCTAGCCGTCCATGAAAAGCGGACCGGCCAGTTGGAGTCGGAGAATGCTGAGCTCCGACAGGAAATTGTTCAGCTAGAGATGACTTACGAAAGCGCTATTTCAGTGAAGACCACCGGAAATGGCTTGCTTCAGAACGCGAGAAAGACGGGGTTCCAGGGGACTGCGGATGATGGATGCTTTTGCTCCAATATATTGGATATCACAGGTGACATTGCAACCGATCGAATCCTATCGCTAATTCGGAGAATTACGTCCAAGACGACTACAGACATGGGGTGTCAAACAGAACCGGGCGTTAGACAAGCGCGGTTTACTCAAACTGATGATGCTACGGGGCCCTCCGGCGATATGGCCATTGGCGATATGGGCAACGGCCGCGTGGCCGACAGACAAGGCGGAGACCCGGTGGGTAGACGTGACGGTGTGTCTGAGGGTGAGTCAGTGAGGCGGACAAGTCCGGCGGAGCGACCGAGTCCGACGTTCCGGGCCCCTCGGCCGCGACCGATTCGTCGCAGCAGCGAGCGCAATTTGCATTATGACAACCGAGAGATTGTGATTCCTGACATAGCTTTCCATTTACAGCTAACTGACCCACCATCCGTAGTAGTCCCGTCGCCCGTGGCAGCCCCATCGCGGCGGTCAGCACCCCCCTCTAATCGCCTGAGCAGTTCGCTGCTGCCGAGCCCGGGAGACTTGGAAGAAGGGGAGGTGGTCGAGGTGCCATCTCGCACCACCCAGACAACTGGTTCCGTCACAAGTCCTGAGGTTGAGAGCCTGGTATCACAAGCGAAGAAGAAGGGCGACCGGAAGCGCGTGTCGGCTAAAGACCCAGCGAGTCTTGTTTCAACGACAAAGACCACGGCGCCTAAACGAAAAAAACCACGCAAGGCGACGCCGAGCACCGCCACCCCAACCTCGGGCCTGTCCGGCACAACCTCGCCGAGCCTACCACACCACCTGGACACGGACCTTTTGGTGGAGGAAATTCAGGCAGCACTGCAGCAACAACCTGCATCGCAAGTGAGTGTGCCAGACAGGGCTTGAGTGAGCCCGAGTGAACGAGACAGCCGTACGAGACAGGAGTCCTATTTTTGGGTTGAGAACAAAAGAATTGCCGTTAATGACAGAGATGATGGAGAACACCAGCTCGGCAAATGAGTCAGTCAACGACGGAAACTACCCCGATGGAATCATCATCTTCACCAGCGCCTGTCGGTCCAGTGCCCCCGTCGCGGAGAGCTCGGATGCTGTTGTCGTCGCCAGGGCGGAGTCGCTCGTCGGTAGTAGCCTGCGTGGGGCGGAGCGCGCCGCGAGGTGATGGGGACGAGGTAACGTTCGAGCCAGGCTGGGATGGTCTGTTGCGCGCGGGGTGTGCTGGTTGCGCTGGGTTGCGTACTAGCAACGCAGCTGTCCGTGCTAGCGGTGTTCACCTTAATGAGAGTTTCGAGCGGCTCGTCGGCGAGCTTTATATGTGGCCGCGAGAGGTCCACGTAGCGCGCGTCTTCGTCCTCGACACAGTCGCTCTCTTCCCCAGGACTCTGTCCAGAATTCTGCTCCGTTGCGCGACCTGGCTTCAACGCCCGGCCTGGCTTCAACGCCCGGCCCGTGGGTGACTGGGCGCCACGACCTATGGCGGAGCCCGAGTCGCTTCCACCTGACGGTCGACTGCTTGGGCGCAACTCGCCGTCGCAGCCTGTCCGGGACTCAGCACTTCCGTCGGCTGCGGTACTGGACACAGCACGCAACGCGTCCTCACTGTGTCTATGGGCCGAGCTTCCCAACGACGTTTGGACCCCGAATATTGGCTGGACTGCGTCGTCGTCCAGAACAGGCCAGAGCGAGTAGGGCAGGTCGTTGGGGTCTTCGATGCTACAGGCAAAGTGCGCACTGTAAGCGGCGTAATTGCTGGCAGCTCGCAGCGCCTCTTCCTCGAAGTCCGCGTCTCCACGGAGAACGTGTGCACACGTTTGCAAACGACCTTTGTAGCGCAAACAGGCGTCCAGCGAGTCGAACACAGCGAGCCCGACCTGGCTACCGAGGGCCGTAGTCCGAACCAGCTGGGCGGCCAATTCTTCATATATACGCAGGTATTCCTTCACCACAAATAGCATCCGTTGGCACCGCTGCTGTGCCGAAGCCGAAGCCAGCGAGTCTGCGCCGCCCGCAAAGAAGTAACGAATGCGCTCGTCGCCCAACGCCAGCCACCGCAACTCCCAGTCGCGGCCCTGCTGCACCGCTGTCACTTCCGGCTCCTTGCGCTGTCCCTCCTCCGACGCAGCCGCCACGCGTCGGGTCGAACGCTTCCGCGGCCGCCCTTTCCCTTGCGCACTGACCACGGCCGTTGGGCATCGCCGATCAATGCTCGGAAGGGGCAACACCTCACCAGGGGCAGAAGCAGGCGCAGAGGCAGGGGCAGAGGCAGCAGGAGAGGCAGCGCCACCCCGCCCTATATTGAACGGAGAATTTCCTTCGCGTTGACCCCAGTGCTCGCAGCCGTCCGGAAGAAACTCCCGTAGGGGCAACCACGGCCGGAGGTCGACAGGCTCACCCACGACTTCCGCTCCGGCGAATTTATACGAGCCCAGCTCCAGAGGCGCAGATGCGGAGGGCTCCAGACGGGGGACGAGCTCCGAAGAGGCGGCGGTCTCTAAAGAGGGGGCGGAAACAAAGTCCATGGACTGGGGGTCCAAAGAAGGGCCAGGGTCGTCCTTCGCTTCGAACAGCGCCACGCACACGTAAAGCGGACTGAGCAGGTTACTCTTCAGCCACTCCAGGGGCATGGCGGGCGCCGGGGAGTCCGGGGCAGCCGACGGGGAGAGGGTTTTGGCGACCGCACACGCGCGTGCTGCGCTCTGTCGGAAGGAGAATAGCGCCGGCGATGAGGCCGCGCTGTGTCTCTGCAGGTCCTCCGAGGTCGTTCGCCGTCGCTTCGCCGGCGGCGGCACGGGAGACCCGCCTCGTCGTCGATGCTGGTCGTCCGGCCCCCCACCCCGGCGACGAAGAGGCATGGGAGGTCGCCGAGGGTTCCGGGGAGCTGGGGGACCCGCATTCGCAACTCCGGAGGGACTTTGGACATCCCATCGACATCGTCGCGCGTCTAAAGAAAGTTCGGTTGGTGAACAGCACTCAGCCATGTACTCAGCCAGGCAGGACTAGTACTTAGCGCGGTAGGACCGCAAGGATGTTCGGACACGCTGCACCGACACGCTGCACCGACGGACGTTAGGCCGACGAGCGTTGGTCCGACGAACTTACCATAGCCTTGTACCATTCTTCCTTCACGGTTCCTGCCGTTGTTCCCTCCATATGCTGGCAGTGCCGTATGTTGGCTAGTGGGGGTGCTTACTATTGTTTATAAGGTCGTCGACGTTCCTGGACATGGACGTTAGTCGTCGGCGCAGAAATTCGTTATTTCTCAAAAACAGTGCTGCATCGCGCGCGAGATAATGGCTTGTGGTTTGAGGATGTCATAGAAGTATGCAAACCGAGGAATCGACCGTAGTACCAGGACCAGTAATAGGTAGAAGACCAAGGGAGTGGCTACCATCGTCAACAGCATGTGGCAAAACCAACTGAGTACGCGCCCAACAGTTCCCAAGGTTATGCTTATCAGAATTCCGTGACCGCCTATTCTACAACAAGACATATCGAGCACGTACCTAGGAGCAGGTGTGCAACTGGACCCGAAAGGCAAGCCGTGACAGAGGACCGTGAGGTGAGGGACCACAGGAATGACAACGTAGGTGGTTGTGGTTGGTAAACGTCGTAATGGGTCAACATTGTAACTCGTAAAAGGGGGGCACCGGCGATGGGGCGGGGCATCTCGTAGGTCGGCAGCATGGGAGACTGGGACCATGACGCTAAGCCGTTAGGCAAAGGGTTCGGCGAAGGGTTCGGCAAAGGACCAGGCAACGGAAGGAAGGAAAGGAGGGAGCGAGGGAGGGAGGGAGGAGGGAAGGAAGACAAGAGTAAGGGGCTTACTCATTGTGCCACAGGGGAAATACGAATGCGCCCATGCCGCCCGCGCTGTGGGTTAAAACAGGGCGTCGCTTAATCCCACCCAAGACGTAGCGGGTGGGAGGACCGTCCCCGCGCGGGGCAGCGAAAGCCTCTTCTCCTTCAGGGTGAGGCCCAATCAATGTTCTTTTTGAATGTAACTCGATCGCAATCTGTCAAGACATGTGTCTAGCTCACCCACCCATGACTCTCACCCGTTGAACTAATTAGTGCGACTGCCCAGTGCGACCCACCTGACCATTGGCACCCACACGACTGAATTGACAGGTCGCATGAGGCCAAACCGGTCAGGTTCATCCCCCAGCAACAAGGTCCACTACCCCAGCAACAAGGTCCACCCGCGACCGGTGGTCTTGACTAGTGCCCCCCGTGACTAGTGCCCTCCCGTGTGAGGCTTACCCAGAGCAGCGCTAGTGCCTGCACCGTGGACAGTGCGAGCGCCACGAGGTTTACCAGGTTCGCGTCGTTACGGGGGGTGGGACGGCCACCAGGCGAGAGGGCGGCGGTGGAGGCGTTGGAGAGGGTAGGGAGTAGCAGGGGCTTGGGTGGCCGGCTGGCCGGGCGGGGCGAGGCGAGTTCGTACATCTGCACCCGGTTAGTCATCTGAGATTTTCTGTCCCAGTTCCGCAGGGGGAACATGCAACGCAATGAACCTCGCGGGTGGGGGAACCTCAAATTCATAACAAAGCCCACCACCACAACCACAACCCCTCTGGACCTCGACCTACACCAAGACGCCAGCTTGCCCGATGATCTGTCTCCGGCCGGGCCCCGTCTGTCTCCGGCCGGGCCCCGTCTACCGCCGACCGGGCCCCGTCTACCGCCGACCGGCCTGCCGCCGGCCTTCGGATCTGTCCCTACACTTCTCGCAACCACCGCCCAACCCCCAAAGGACTTGCCCGGAATGTACACCACCAGAGTCTATACCAGACCGCCACCCATCACGACCACTACTACACCCACCACGACCATGCCCACCACTACTACCAGGCCCGCCACTACTACCAGGTCCACCACTACTACCAGGCCCACCACTACTACCAGGCCTACCACTACGACTACAACAAGGCCCACGACTACGACCACCACCAAGACCACCACCGCGACTACTACTACCGCCGCTGTGCTGCAACCAACAACACCCTCTTCTACGACCGCTCTCACCCGGATCCCGGCTTTCCGCCCAGGACCGGTCGATGTCTGGCCAAAGAAGGAGTCTGCCGGGCCCGCGGCGGAAAGGGATGTCCCAAGTGCGCACCCAGTCCCAGAACACCAAATGCTTCCGTCCCCGAAAAAAGTCCCAAAGGAGCTCTGGAGAGCTCCGCCGTTCTGGAAGGTACCACCGCCTGACCGTCTGACACCGGGTCCCCTGACGCCAGGTCAGCAAACACCTGGATATCCGTCTTCGGGGGTTGAGTCGCCGCCCGTGGGTTTGCAACCCGGCGCGGAGGAGACTGAGAAAGAGTCGACTGTTGGGGTGGAGTCGTCGGTGATGAGTCCGGAGAATCTTTGGTACTTCAAGCAGCTTTTGTTCGGGGACGGGGCGATCACGGAGACACAGATGCGTACCCTGAAACCGGTTCCGTCGGCGGCGTACCGCGTGACCTTGGGCGACTTGGCGGAATTGCGGCGATTGGCGGAGGACCTGCAGCAGCTGAACGACCCGCGAGCAGAGGCGGTAGAATACATGCTGGCCATGGCACAGCTAGCGTACTCACGTCGGCTTTACGGTCCGTATAGCGACTCGTCCTACATCGAATCGTCCGATATCGGCGGCGGCGGCGACCACGAGGAAACGGCACTTCGCAACCGGCTGTACTTTGAGAATCCGCACCAGCGGCCAAGGGGCCTAGAGCCTTACGATCTAAATCCAGTTAGCTACCCTGGTCGTTCTGATGACTATTCAGGCGGTCTTGACCACTACTCAGGGAGACTTGACCAGTACTCAGGAGCGCCGACAAAGTATGGAATGCGGCCGTTGCCCCAGCACTGGTGGTCGGGGGATCCATGGCGTCCGCCGGGCGAGGAGTACTACTACAACGGCATCGAGGAGAAGATTCAGTTGCTGTGCTGTTTCTTGCTGGTGTACTGGATGCTCTAACACCGCTAAGTTCTGGTGGCTTTTTGGTTCTATCGGCGTTTGCGCTCGCGACTCCACTTCTGGTGCTTTGGCAGCACTTGCGCGCAGCCCTAATGGGCTTGCAGAAAGGTCGAATGAGTTGTCGATCGGGTCAGGAATTCGCGGCCGGTGTCTGGAAAAAGGGATGATACTGCCTATTCTTTGGTCGGCTGGAGTACTGGCGACCGGCACGTTACGTGGAAAGTAAGCAGGAGTGTATTTGACGAGTAGTGTTGCAGAGGAGAAGATGTGGTTGCAGGAACGGGGCGTAATTTCGACGAGCTGTTGCGCGGGATCGACTTGGACGATGACTTCATGAAGCCGAGTCTGATCGGTCCCAGTAGTCCCGAGCTGACACCGACGACGTACTGGCTTGTGGGCGTGGCGCTTTTTACAGGCGTCTTTCTCGGCGTCGCCTTTTTGGGCTGCATACTCTTCGCCGTGCGCTTGACCAGCCAAAACGCCTCGGCCAGTCAGCAATTCAAGTGCCAAGCGCGCGGCGGCCACCAAGGCGAAGACGCCAGCACACATGTCTCCTCCGCCACTTCCCATTACCCGCGCCCAGTCACTTCGGTACTGACTCCCATCCCACCCAAGCCGTCACAAGACGCAGTCCGACCGGGTCCTGGCCGCGGCTACAGCGATGGGAGGGGGTACAGCGACGGGAGAGGATATGGTGACGGGCGGGGATATGGTGGTGACGGTCGCGGCTACTGCGACGGACGGGGATATGGTGAGGGCCGGGGCTACAACGACGGGCGGGACTACAACGGGAGTCGGGACTACGGTCCGGGTCGACAGACAGAGAATCCAGGACCATCGCCCCCGGCCGTCGACGCCCCTGTACCGAGCTACGGGTCTGCGCAGGTCGGGTGTCCAAAGTACGCCGCAACCAAGTGCTCTATGGCCGGCTGTTCCCAGGGGAGGCCTGTCCAGGACCCCTTCAGCGCACCTGGAACGGCGCCGGTGCTAGGGACGGTGCCGGGGACGGTGCCGGGGACCGCGTCGGGGGGGAGTTGTCTGGCGGCGCCCCACCCGTCGTGCGAGCGCCGCAAACGG